GGGCCACTTCCGGGGGGCTGCTTTGCCTAGGGCAGCACAAAAGGTAAATACACCGCTGCATCCAAGGCAACTATATATGCTACTGTATGTTTTCCTGTGAAGACGTGCACCTAAACCATCTCATCCTCGGCCGAGCGACACTTTCTGAGATTCATGGGCCACTGCTCCGCTGTTGACATCAAGCACTGCTAGTGGTGTTCTCCTGGCTGTGTTGCTGACATGGGTTGCAGAAAGCCATGAGATATTGAAAGCTGCTACAGGTATGTAAAGGCGCCTCTAACCTATCGCCATTTCCTTTTTTTTTTTGTAATGAACGCCGGCCAGCTTGCATTCTACCTGCAAATGTTCCCTAAAGACTTGGCACTCTGTAGTCCAATGCTGCTCCACTTGTGGGTTGAATAATGCTAGACACACCCTTTCTCAACGAAGGATGCATTGTCTACAAATATTAGCTGTTTGGTACCTAGACTACAAAATGTTACCATTGTCTAGTTTGGTGTGCAGTACTCTCTTTTAGTCTGCAGCTGGCACTGTTGTAACTTTAGTAAAGTTGTTACTCTTGCTAGCTATACTGAACTAAGCTGTATCTGCAGAAATTTGGACTTTGTTTTTGACCATCAAGGCTAATAATTGAATCTATAGTATGCATACTGTAACAAACTAGGAGCACAGAGAGCGCACACAGAGGCTAATCACAAGGGACACAATGTGTGGGGTGTTTGTTGGGCGATTTCCAGTATGCAGAAGTGGGAGCAAGCTGCAAGTGTGGATTAGGGCTGGGTGCTGTTCAGCCTGCCCCCCAGGCTAGGCCTAAGGCCTGGTTGTAGGCATAGGCTGGTGTAAGGGAAATGTTTCCTTGAGGCCTCCAACATGGAGGAGGTCTGTCTTGCTGTCTGAGGAAGAGACCCAGGACCAAGGATGGCTCTTGAAGTTTCTTGGAACCTAAGGACTTCAGGAGCATGGCCGGTGTCTCCTATTGAGGATCTATATTCATCCTTGCTCATCTGCTAGTTCAGTTGCTATGCGCTGCCTCCCAAGTGGATCTACACTGATATGCCAACCGCGTCTGGTGAGTCTGGAGCTCTTGTCGGTTACACCCTGGAAGCTTAGAATCCCTATACCCTCTCTCCTCAGTAAAGATGTTTAATAATTTATTCTGCATTATACTACTGGAGTGGACATCAGTTTGTAGGCAGTAGAAGAAGGGAGGTTAATGCTAATGGGTGGGCTGAAGATCATACCCTAGACCAGCGGTTCTCAACCTGTGGGTCGCAACTCACTGTTGAGAGTGTCGCGGCATCCACTCCTGCTGCGCTAGGTGAGAGGCTCCTCAGCCTCCTCCTTGCGCAGCAGTGTCAGTCAGCGGGAGGACAGCAGCAGCTGTGAATATAAAAGTGCCGCTATGCACACTCCCTGGCCGCTGCAGCGACATCCAGTGGCCGGGGAGTGTGTACAGCAGGGCTTTTCTATTCACAGCCGCTGCTGTGAGCTCTGCAGGAGGCGGGCGTCTAAGCAGTGCTGGGGCTAAGAAGTAGACATGTGTGATTCGTTTCGTTCCGAATCGAAATTCGGACGAATTTTAGGAAATTCGGACATATCCAAATTCCGAATTACAGACATAACAAATGCAAACGAATCCGAATTTCCATTTCCAAAATTCGGTAGCGGTAGTTCAAACGTTCGTTTCGGTTCTTATTCGTTTCGTTCGTTGGAGCAAAGTGACAGAGAAGGAGAAAAATATTTTTTCCCCCTCCAAATGTCACGAACGAACGAAACGAATAAGAACCGAAAACGAAACGAACGTTCGACCTACCGCTACCGAATTTCGTCCGAATCCGAATTAACTTTCACACCCGAATCCCGAAAAACGAAATAACACAAATCCAAATTTAAAACGAAACTAAACAAATTTTTTGGCAGTGCACATGTCTACTAAGAAGGCTGCATGGAGACAGAGCAGGCAAGCTGGGGCTGGGGAGGGCTTGTATTCTTGTGAGTGTGCTTCTATTTTTAGTCCCAAGTCCAGCGCCTTACTAATTCTGCAGTCCAGCGCTCCGTTGGGGGTCACCAAGGGGTCCCGGCCCTAGAAAGGTTGAGAACCACTGCCCTAGACAGACTAGAGATGAACCGGGCATTCAACGGCTCCTTCGGCGTGAGCGCTACATTACCAATATTTTAGCACAGGTACTAATAAAGTTTAATTCCGGAACCATAATTTTGAAAGCTTTAGAGGGGTTAGTAGCTTTCTCTGTTATCTATTGAGGTACAGAATTCTGATATGATGGGTTATGCTACTGCCTCCAGGAGAAATGGACACAAAAAATTGAAAGCCTGCCACTTTAAGGACATAACCCTTCCAACCTCACAACTGCTAGTTTTGCTTATTGTCCTTAGGAGAATGGAGGTATCCCTCTCTTCTGCTTTCTTATTTTGGTTTATTTTGTTAAAGTGACATTAAAGGCTCCTGCCCCCCCCCCCCCCCCCCCCCCCATGTTACTGTAAACACTTGCCTTATT